TTCCTGCTTTATTCTAATTGTATTTATTCAGTACACATGAGGAAAAACAACATGCTCTTCATTTGTTGAATGAATGAATCACCCACAAAGTTTGGTTGTATATTTTTAATATGTAATTAAAGCTTCAACCTTTTTGGATGGGCCAATGAGATCATACAAAACCTCTCAAGGTCACAAGCCATCCATCCGGCTGGTGCCACAAAACTGTTATTTAAATTCAAATTTCTATTTTGATCCAAACCATGACCGGTTTAATCACATTGATGATGAATCCACGTCTTTCAACTCTTCACATAAAACTCATAATAAGCCTAATTATCAAAACTGATTTCATTTAAAAATGTCAAACCACACGTTCACTTATTTTAAGTTGATAAAAAAACTTCGCTTTCCTTTTCTCCTTCTTTGAAATACACATTTGCAATTAAAGAAAATGAACACAACCTTTTCACAGGACTGAATATGATTAATGTTATGCTGCTGCACTGCTGCTTGAACATGTTGGAGTTCAGAGTAGTTGGGTGTCTCGTGCACATCCTGCATCATGCAAGATCAGTTTATTTTAACAGGGTTGGAAAATGACATTTCCATTGTTTCTGAAAATGTTTAAACATATAAAAAAAACATCTGTAGTCACAGTACGACAAAAACCTCCATCTCTTCAGCAGCTGCACATTTGGCAAATGATTTATTCACTATCTCTCACAGTTTATCACGACTTTTCAGATTTTCATTTAGTTTTTAAGTATTAACTTGAACATTTGTGGTTTTTAAAGTGACTTTACTTTACTTTAACAACTCTCGGGCTGCCACCAACTAAACTGTGAGAGTTTACTGTGACAGTTCATTCTGAAAGTGTTTGACTGGAGGCCGAGGATCGTAATCCTCTTAGTTCCCACGTTGTATTTATCCATAAGGAGCTTTAAGTAAAAACTATGTTAACACTTTAAAATAAAGTGAAATATTTAAACCAACATTTTTTAAAGCATACATTTATATATCCCCATCTTGGTATCTTTGAAAATTGGGGGTGTACATTATAATTAAAAGGGGAACATTGTTTGTCTGCACAGCATGAGTTGTAATGACTAGCCCACGGGCATTTGAGGAGAAAGAACTAAACTATTTTAATTTGAACATTAACATGACCTTCACGTTCCCCACAAATAGCTTCTGCAAGCACTTCTCCCTCTGTGGTCGGCTGACCTTCATCACACCGCATCGTATTGTCAGTCAGCTCAGCTCTCCTGAGCATCAGGCTATATATTTAGCAGTTGTCTGTGCACAGTCAATTTGAAATTAGACCTCAAGGATCGCACCAGTTAATGGTTGCTGGAGTCTTTCAACTCAATTGCATGGCCTTAGTAATTCAGTAAACTGACTGCATCATTTATTTAATGTGAGGAATGCTATTCATGTGAACTTCGAGTGCATCGACCTTGGCTCCAAAAGGCTTCTCCTGTGTCGCAGATTTAATGCTGCAATAAAATGTTATCTTTTGACAGTCTTGATTATTGTGATGCATTAAATAGATTTTTACGTTTTACTTTGCACTTTTATGAGCCAAAGCTTTGAACTAAAGTTTATTATACTATTCTTATTCTTCTTCCTTCGGGCTTTAGTCACTGAAGAAAAACACTTACTCTCTTTTGTGCATTTTATTTACATAATAATAACTTGATATTACTCTCAAGAAAATGATATCAATTATATGAGAGCTCATCCTATTTTGTATTTTTAAAATGTGTTGTGAGTATTTAGGAGATGCATCAACATGCATCCTTTTGCTTTGTCATTTGAAATGTATCACCGGTACCTCCCATTCCTCTTTATCATCTTTGCAATCATTCAACACCTTGATTGGAGTCCTTCTGTGGTAAATTCAAGTGATTGAACATGGTTTGGAAAGGCACACACACATGGCTATAAGGTTTAATAGCTGACAGTTATATCACACCAACAATTCAGATAGAAGCTCAGACGACCTGCTGAACTGACACAGCTTTGTGTTGGGATCTGTGAAAGGTTACCACAAACTTTTCTGCTGGATTGACGGTTCAAAGGAGCCCATTGGCCTCCATATTTCTTAAATGGAAAGGGTTGGAAACAATCAGGATTCTTCTTGACGCTGGCCGACCTCCAAACTGAGCAATCAGGAGCGGTCCAGAGGTCCTGTGGAGATGCAACATACACTGGTCGGATGAAACCAAGATTGAACTGTTTGCCATCAACTGTAAGCATCATGATCTGAAGGTATTTTTCAAAAGCAGGGACTGAGGTGATTCCTTCAATAAATTCATGGTCTTGAGGTCAGAGAGGCTGTATTGCTGCTTAAGGAGTTTCAACTAAATACTCAGTTAAGCATCTTAACACTCAGGTACATGTGATGTAACAATTTAACTCTTGAATTCTGTTTTCACTTTTTCATTATCAGGTATTAAAAGTAGATTGTTGAGGGGAACACATCATTAAAACAATGTAAGCACAAGACAGCCACATAACAAAATGTGAAAAAGAGGAGGGGTCTGCATACTTTCTGAATGCAATGTGTATCCTGAGAAGCTACTTTGCAGACAACATTATTTATGCAAGCTAATTTGTTCTAATAACAGATAAACCCACTTAGGATCTGCATTATGGAAATGATAATCATTTTTTAAAAGCGTTATTGCCTTAAGTGATTGGAAACATTTTCTAATTAACATTTCATTCTTTTTATGTTATAATTGATTCATAGTGTTGAGGGAAATTCCTCCTGATAGCATTATAAATCTAGCATTAGAAGGCTGAAGTGCTGGCCTCGGGCTGAGAGGCAAGCCATTTATTTTTAGCTGAGGTAATGACTGGTGAAATGCAATTTAGTATCCACACAAAGAAGGCTGGGGGCGAACAATCCTCAGTGCAGTGCTGATGTGCTGCCTGCCTCTGGCGCTGGTACACTTCAGAACATCATATCCACTGTTCGCCTTTCATGCAGTTGTCAACCATCAGAGCATGAATTGTCACAACAAGCCTTTATTAGGCTGCATCAGAGTCACGGCTAATTGTTTGGGGGACGTATAACTCATGGAGTCCTGAGGCTTCTGGGCACAGGCAGCAGTTTCTGCTCCACTTCACTCCACCCAAGCCTGAAATATATAAAACTGTAAATACATTAATGTTACGTAATCCCGTAAGGTGTTCTCGGAGGACTCTTCAATCACTGAAAACTATATCTACAAGTAACACATGTGCCAGTGAAGCTGCATTAGTCTATCTTTAGAATAATTATATGATAATTAAAAGACTGCTGCATTTGTTTATTACACTGCTCGACGATAGAGGGATTGATAGCAAATGAATCAACTAAACAGATCCCATTAGTGCAATCTGCAGCCAAGGCCAGATTGCAGAATACTGAATCGACACAATGTATCATATGCTGTCAACTCAGATCATTGTTGTTTACGAGCTCCCTTGGAAATAACAAAAACAACAAAAATAAGAGTATCATTTTTATTTAAATCAACATTTTTTCCTTTCACATGTGGATGTACAAATGTATATCAGTAGCACGATGATACATCATTTACAGAGCTTCCTTTTCCTTTGTTTGTAAGGCAACATAGGTGGTTCAACAAATACCATTAAATCAGTCGAATGTATTCATGTACAGTTATAAGTTAACAAATCTGACATCACACTGCATTGATTACATTTCCTCATGTACATTAAATGGTGTCAAAATAAAGTCAACACGATTTGGTTTACAAAGTGCAATGGCAACAATAGAAAGATGTAGATAATAAAAATGTAGGATGCTGGTAAACATGGTTAATCTCTTTGGCGAGTTGGAATAAACGATGGGTTTTCTTTAATCCTGTATCAAAATATTAGACTATGTATTTGTTTTGCCAACATAATATCATGAAAGGTTTTGCAGCGTTACAGCTGAATGATACTGGACACAGAACTACAGGAATAGTTACAATAAAATATTTACATTAAATAATTAACAATTGATATCAGTCCGGTTGAGCAGCATAACAACAACAACAACAACAACAACAAATTATGCTGTAATGTATAAAAAAATACAAAAAATTAAATATGAAATGTACATTTTACTACATTGTTATGTTTGATGCAATACCTCCAAACGCTTAACATCAACAGTAAATCCAGTGCATTTTATCACATAATTACATAAATATGAATAAACCAATAAATAAATATTAACCTGAAATAAAATAAAACAATCAATTTTAATATTAGACAAGAGTTGGATAAGAAGAAACCACGTTCGGAGTGTATCACCAAACATATCAAAAAATACCTCTTTAAACATTCTTACTGTACCAGCTGACAGAAATACTTCCACTGCATGAAAAGCAGGTCATATAGGACACACACAAAGGAGCATCTGCATTTAAACGTAAGCTAGCAGCATCGTTAAGACTTTTTTGATTCTTCATAAACCTTCGTATTCCTGGAGTTTGACTTTGCGGATAGATGAGTGTTCCCATTATTGTGAGCAGCCTGAGCAGATGTAGGAGTTAGCATCACAGGCAAGTGTGTGGTGCTCATTTCATCAAGCTCTGAAACCAGCAGTTTAGTAGTGACACAGATTACTAGAAAGCCTCAAGGATTTCATAAAGCCAAAAGAATGTAATCTGCCCCCTCTGTGCCTGCATGATGAATCCAAGCATGTCACACATATACATTACATAAATGACTAGGCACCAATTTCTCAACTCTATATTATGTAATCTTATCTTTACTCGTTTAGAAGAAAGATTTAATTTTCCACTGCTCATCCATCAGCCTCAAACACGCATGGTGGTGACTCATTTAATTGCTAATTATGTTCACACCTTCCTGCTCTGAGGAGAAGAAATAGAGGGTGAAAGAAAATATCAGGAAAAGAGAAGAAGCTGAACACAATGTTTACAACAATACAAGACAAACATATCAACACTGTATACAAGATCAGACTTTAAGGAGAGGACTTCATTTGAATGGCTTGTTTGTATAAAATGATCATCCCACATTGATCAAAAAGAAACATTTAAATGATCCTTTTATAAGAGAGAACAGTGCCTCTTTTGAATGAAATGCCTTCCTTTCATAGTTTTAGAAACAGTTAACTCAAGGAGCATTTTGATATTCATCTCTCTAAAGAAGACTTGCAATAATGTTTGAGCGATGCACCTCTCCGACTAGGTAAGAATGGAGCAGATGCCTACAAGTGCATGAGCTGCTGAAGCATCCTGCTGCAAATCCTCTAAGATTATCTTGCTCCTCTCACAACCACTAAGCAGTAAGATGACAGTGAAAACAAGCTAAAATAAGACTTGCTGTGATGTGACAGTTACATGAGGCCATTGTTTAAATACTTTCCAGAAAGGCTTTAAACCTGTACCTGTAACATGTACAATTTGTTAGTGGAGATACATCTCCATGTGCTATTGAAGTATACTTTTAGATTAATTGATATTACCATTCAGGAGACATTGACTGGCTCTTCAGTCAAACTGGACACACTACGACCTTGTCGGAGGAAAAAGTCTGTTCTGTAAATCACCTCAATGTTTGTACTCCACACAAAGATCAATGATATGTGTCAAGTTGCGTACTTCTGTATATAATGTATGTGCTATTTTAGGTGCCAAAGGAAACCAATGAAAAGCAAGACAAAGTAGTTGTTTACTCATAATGTTCCAAAAGAAATGCTGGACACTCGTAATGAAAGTAGCAGTCGCAATTGCGGTTGCTTTGGTCAACACAGCACTACACAAATAAAATGTATACATGTGGGTTTTTTTTTATATTAAATACATGTAACACTATACTACAGTTGAACACCATGATTGTATTGGGTTAACTAACAGAGGCGATTATCGCTCCCAGTGAGAGCACAGCAGCGTGTTCAGTTTGAGACTAAGCTACATGGATTAAATTCACACACTGCGCCAATGTTCACATTGCACGACATGGCAGTGTACTGAGGAGAGTATTTGAATTGAGACACAGCATGATATGTTGTTGTGGAGATGATGTGCTGGTCACACAGCTGTGTTCTGTTTGATGCTGTGGAAGCTGATCCGGGTCGGAGACGTGGGGATGGACATGGCTCGTGCCACTCGCACTCGGAGGGCATGGTTGTCCTGCCAACGGTGCCATCGCTTCCTTACTGCAGAACGTACCTGAAATGTTGAGGATGAACATAATGTATTTTAAAATGATTATGAATCTGTCGCGTATATTCATTAAATAATTATTACAACATAACACCTTGAACAAGTGGTCTTAATAAGCAATACAACTGTTTATTGAATAAGGAGTTAAAACCAGGAGAAATATGCTGTTAGCTTAGCATAGAGACCATCCACAGTTAAAAAATACACATTACATCTCATTTGTTTAACCTGTGTAAAAAAACAAGCTGTGACAGAGCTAGGCTAACTCCTTTCCCGTGTTTCAAGCTAACCGTTGCTCACCGTAACTGTTAGTTTAAGCTTAACGAAATACATATGAACGTTTTATCAGTGTCAGTGTCAAACTATCCTTTTAGTGTTGAATTCAGAATCCAGACAGAGGGTAGATAAAATCCTAATTTTGATCTTTCAAAGTAAGTAAAAGTTAAATATGTAGGTATAGGCTATGCTAACAATAATTCAACGTTTGAGTTCATGGAAATAACAATTTAAAAGGATCCGTCCGTAAATAATACAATACATTTAGAGGCATGCAACCCACTGCCCTTCCCGCATTCAAATCAGTCGTTGACAAGAAGAGAATACTTAAAGGTGGGGTAGGTAAGTTTGAGAAACCGGCTCGAGATACACTTTTTTGTTATGCTCTTAACATCCCGATAGCAATGAATATCTGAAGTGCTTTGACAAAAAATCCATTAAAATATGTAATCTGTGGAAGCCGTAGTACTGTAAAAAGCACGACCAATCATTTTAGCCGGCCCGGCTAAAATAACTGGATGGCCTACCTGCCTGTCAGCCTTCCATCTGTGCACAAACTTATCTCGTGCCCTCATTGGTCATGTGCACGTTCGTGTGTGTTGGAGGAGGGGCTCTGTAAGGAAGTGGCAGATTTTTTCCGGTTGTGTATTTTCAAATTCTAGCGCACTCGAGCTGGTTCCTCCAAAATTACCTACCCCACCTTTAAAACAAAAACAACTTTAATAAATTATTGTACGAGTGGGAAATATAAATTCTTCACAATCCTTCATCAAATTAACAAACCCCTCGGCTTCCGAATTTCAATTATTCGACGCTTGTGAGAGCACAGCAGGAGGGTCCTTAACTTTTCACAATTACTGACAAATGCGTAATCTTCATTATTGCATTAATGACTTACATAAAGCTGGAAGATCAGCAATTTGCTTTCATATAATTATAGGAAAATGAGAGACATTATTTTTGGGTGTAATCAAAATGCGATAATTTCCCTATGGAGAAGAAAATCGCTCAGCTTTTTTTAAACAAAAGATACCTGATCCTACCTCGTGCTTGAACCAGCGGTTGATACTAGGAGGGTAGCAGGATGTAAATTAAGCAAGAACATCCTATTGGGGCTTTATTAAGATGATATATCAAGCAACACATATCTTAATTGAATTCATAAAAACTGAGTCTTTTGCAAAACTCCAATGACTCACCTCTCCGTTTAGAAAGCAGTAAAACACAGACACAAAGAACCCCTGCAGAAGAGACACATTCATATTAAAAGATGTGAATGCGGCTGTATTGTGTAACTAATTAGACATCAGATCATTTAGATGGTGCAATTAGAGAGAAGAAGCAAAAGAAAAGCCTATACAACTTTGATTGTAGAGAAACTCTGCATGAAATCTGTTTTTCTTGGCCCACTCAGTCTTACATTTAAACACATAAAATAGAAGGATTAAAAAAAAAAGGCCAAAGAGCAGACATCAAGCCCACATGGTTGTGTTAATCCTGTCAGCTGAGAGCCCTGAACATGAGGCAGCAGACATGCTGTGTATAAGCACAGGCAGAATGCTACTTCAAATCATCTTCCCACAAGAAAGCTCAAAAACTGAGAGAAATTATGAAATGATAGAAGGAAGTGCATTAAGAATTCAGCATGACTCACATTGTGTGTGGGCTTTTTAAGCGTTGGCCAGTGTCATACTGCATCATTATCCTTAGTCTTACCTGAAAAGACTGCAAAAAGGAGTTGAAATAAACGAAAACGATTTGTGAGATGTCGTCCTCCCCCGGATTTACAAAGAAGAGCATGTAGGTGATGCCCAGCAGGGGTAACAAGACGAGCGTTGCCTTCACGGCTTTTCTGTGAAGACAGGGATGGAAAATCAATAGCTACATTCATGAAAATACTATAATAAGAACCTGGATTTCATCCCGGTTGGTTTTGGAAAAAGGCATGAATCTGCATCAGTTGTCCAACTGGCTGTGGAAGTATAACAGTTCACAGCTTCGATTCTCAAATTATCAATGCATCGGAGATGAAGCCTACAGTGCAAGATGGGTACAGTTAGGGCTGCTCGATTATGGCAAAAATCATAATCTCCATTATTTGTGTCAATAATTGATATCACGATTATTAAAAACGATTATCCATTTACTTTGAAAACATGAAATTATTGGAGAAAAAAAATGTGAACAGTAGGTTTTTAACAGTTGATTACACTGAACTTTAGGTATAATTCAACTGAAAAACCAATACAAAAATAATGTAATAAAAAAATTATCGTTTTATTTCGATTACGTTGTTTTCGTAATCGTTGCATGCCATAATCGTAATTGCGATTAAAATATGATTAATTGAGCAGCCCTAGGTACAGTATTGCATTGTATTATAGCACAGGTTTACAGTATAATATGTAACTAGAGGTTGTAAATGGTAAGTTAATATTTTATTTTAATTGGTTTCAGTGAAGGGCTTGCAGCTCTTTATGGGCAACTGTTTGAATGGTTGGAGATCTTTCTGATCAAAAATATTTGTGTTGTGTTTCAACAATGCATAAACAGTGTTTGTCATTTACAGATGGAAAGAAAAATATATGCATGAGACAGTGGTCTGTACTGATTGTACAAAGAGAAAAAATAATTACAAAGAACACAAACAAACAATAACAACTACTAAAGTAATCCTCTACATTGGAGTTCTTTTAAACAAGATAAAGAAATAGCGTAACTCGACAAATGTGAGTACCAAAAGCGTTTTAAAACAAAGTTAATATATACCGGTACTCAGAAAACTGCCCGTAATAATGACATTCTGTGCCAAAGCAAGCAATTTCCACATCACAGAAAATCCAATTCTCCTTGTCAAATGTTCCCCCTGCTGGTTATATTGTTAATGCATTTCTGTATAAGAGACAGTGGTTTGAAGAAACCATTATGTTTTATATTTAGGTTAAGAAAGCTGCATGCTTCACGTCAGCATATCTGTTGAGCCACAACCATAAATCCAACTCCAGCCTGGAAAGCCTGAACTCAAGTTGTCTGAGCTTCGACACTACAAACACCCTCAAAATAATCCCCCCCGAGGAGAAAAACACAGTTGACACAGTAATCAAAGTTGCAAAAGGCTTGACACTTCCAAAGATTACTGGAGGGACCCAATGAAATGGCTCTCTTGCACAAAGTACTGTAACTATGTTTTGCTTACTCAAGTCAAGTTGGTTTTAGACACATTTGCATACACATACAAGCTTCAAGTATGAGGGTTTGTTAATTAAACACATACAAAAAAAATGCTTTGACGGTGTTTTGGTGATTCATTGTTTTTAATTTATCATAATAATTGGAAGAACAGGCAATACTTAGCACGAAAGAGATGCAGCAAAACCCAAAAGAACAATATGATAAACTCTATTACTGCACTGGGGGTGATTTGAATATTTTGTCATTAACATTGCTTCCTTTGATTCACAAATGTATTCTCTCTGAAAGGATTTGAGTGAAACAAAATCAAAATTGTGAAAATAATTATGAAGGTTATATAAGTCTGTTTTCTAAATCCACTCCTTTGATGCCAATGTTTTCATCATCTCTTAAGTACATGCTGTCAAAGCAAACAAAAGGAGAAATGTGATTTATTTCTCAACTCACCTGTACTGTATCGTTTCAGACGTGGTTGAAGCCCTTAGTTTGGTCATAAGAATTCTTACTATGTTGAAGAGGAAAACAAAGTTTATCTAGAAAGAAAAAAAGAGAGAAAATAATTAGCCTTGAACCCTGTGCTACGGTAACCGTTCACAAGAAAACTGAGAGCAATTTTCTCCAGCAAACATGTTCTGCTCATTAAATGCTGAGTAGAAGGAGGAGAGGGCAACACAAGTCAAAGCCCCCTCCTCTTTCAAAATCAAATTGTTAGAGGAGCACACAAATCAAAAGTGGTTGCTAGACAGAACCATTAGTGGAGACATACCAAGAATACAATTAGATTTTTTTTTTGAATTATTGTGCTTGAAATTGCCTGTAAAGGCAGATTATTCAACCATTCCAAGTTATGTATATTTCCAAGAATGGAAACCGCTTCATTATGAAACCATTTTCATATTATTGTATTTTTCAGAACATCTTCAAGCAGGCATCAGTGAGACCTCCCATGAGAGTGTAAAGTGAGAAATGTACTGTGCAAACAATTTCTTCGGATAATGTGAAAATAACAGCAGTGGTTGTACAATGCAGTGCCTTTCTGTGCCGAATCTCACCAAAAGCACAAGAATGACTGGTCCCTGGTAAATGTAGTCCATATACTTCCCAGGTTCTTTACCAAACCAACATCTGTGGACAGAAGAAGAAAATCAATAAAAGAAAATTCAAGAAAACCCTAATAAAAAAATTGTGCGAGAAAACATATCGATTTTTCAATTAAACTTACTGTTCATTTTCGTAATACAACTTTCCTATAGCCCAGGCAATAATTATAGGGCATGGAATACCTAAAGAAATCAAAAGACAACACAAACAGACAACATTTTTCAACAACAAACCCTTAAAACATTGTGCAGCTGGATCAAAACGGAAAAACTTAGCAGACCAAATAAGAAGAGACATCCTATATGTTTTCACTGTTGAATATGGAAAAATGAATATTTATCTGAATAACAAATGTTATGGAGTGGGAGCTTTATCAAAGTCAATAATAGAACAAGTAATACATAAAACATATTGGGAAATACTTATGATAACATGAGAAAAGCTTTGTCACAAAATGGATGCAAAAATAATTATTTAAATCAATTTAAATCATCTCAGAAACAGAACAGAGCATGTTGAATTATCCATCACACACACAGGTCTACCGCAGCTCTCTGATCTGAACATGAAACACATTTCAACACAGATCCGTCAAATCAGCAGGAGTTGTCTAGTAGCAGTGTTATGATTAAAGGAGAGGACCGCCTCATTCATGGCTCAGGGGATTTGATCTTATTAGGTTTGGCTTTTATTTTGGGTGCCATCCTCTCTTTTCAACAGACATTCAAAACTTTTCTTGTGCTACTGTATATCTGGTTTTATTGACTTCTCATTTTCCATACTAAAACACTTGCATTTACTGCAAAAATAAACTTAATGTGGCTTGTAATTCAGAGCTTATGCTTATTTTACAAACTCTTTGGAGACTTTGCCGCATAACAAACGTTTTTGCTGCAGGTTAAAATGAAATGAAAAACAAAATGAAAGCCCTTTGAAATATCTCGCTGCTACTCTAAAGCACTCACAAAGTGAATTTTATGGACGGTCTGCTTCGTTTGAGCGAGCAAGTTATTCTTAACATCTTTGCCCTGCCTGTGAGCCAACAAGCTAATTTGGCTTCTAGCCAAATATAATTGGTGAGTGCAGAAATCCAAGGATGAGTTAAAGCATACCATAAAAGTTTTATAGACAAAGTGGATGAGATGATCATAAGGGGGAATGAAGAGTGAAATGAACTTTAATGGAGATGAAAGAGTACAAGTTGAAAGGTAACATCAAGGCCATGGTGCAAGACCCACTTCCATACGTTTCTTAATGAAGTGTTATTAACAATCCCTCAAGATTTAAATTAGTGACACAATGGTAAATCTAATCTCTTTACTCGCTTGGGTTTTCGACAATGCAGTGTTGCGAGTAATAAGACTAAAACATGTTGTACAGAATTTAGTTTGTAATCTTTTACCTGTATGTTTTTGTATGCACTGCCTGTTTATTACTTTAGACTGAGTTAATGAGTAATTATATAGAAAGCATTACCATGTGCTTTTAGCCGGTTTCTATAGAGAGGCGAAGTCCCTCCCTTTCCGGGGGAGCTCCATGGGACCTTATTTCGGAAAAATTATGTATTGAAGTCAATGGCGAGAGAAAGATTATCTTTCGATCCCGTTTGAATTGTGCCACGAATTACACATATGATGATTGTCAACTTAAAAGATAATTTTGGAAGTCAAAAAAATAAAAATGTGTCGTAAAACTGTGAAGTAACATCTCCCGTCTCGCACCACACACCAAGACAGCCGTCACGTTGGCACATTTCAATTCTTTCTTTCAGAATGAGGCGAAAAGTATTAAAAGAGGTGAAAATCACTACAAGTCTGGGCATGTTGAGAGCTGTACATACACACAAGGGGAGTTAGTCGGTTCCGTAAGAGCCAGCATGCGGGACTGGGATTCTGGGATATGTAGTCTTTCTAGTTGCGTATTTTTCATAGTCTTATATTTCAACAGTTTTACGACAAACTGTGACTTTTTTGACATGGAAATGATTTTTTTAAGATTTTTTAAAAATCATAAGTGTAATTTGTGGCACAATTCAAACAGGATCGAAAGATAATCTTTCTCTCTCCATTGACTTCAATACATTATTTTTCCGAAATAAGGTCCCATGGGTCGGAAGTATATGGGCGGGACTTCACCTCTCTATTGCTGCTGCAACATGTGACCCCCCCCACACACTGCAGCTGTAAGCATGCTATCATTTTAACAGAAATAACATTGTATGGCAATCATTATATACATATTCTCAGGTCTCCCTTGAAAAAGAGAGCTATGATCTCAATGGGACCAATCTGGTTAAATAAAGGTTTGAAATGAAATTAACTACAGAAAAGAAAAAAATATGATTTTTCATGATGTCATTTTCATTCAAACAACATCCTGTGGGTTATGTAGGTACTTATCTAAATTGTATTAAAAACAACAAAACAAGTTTAATGAACACCTGCAGGAGTGCTTACTGAATTTCATACTGATGAGGTGAATTTACTCAAAGACTAATCTGCTCAGATAATCTAATCATCACGAGAAAAGCTGTCAGCCATATCTTAATCAGATTAACTCATTAAAAGTAGATTGATAAAATGGATAGCTGCCTTTGGGTATTTCTATGTTCAGGTCAATATTAGCTTTCCAATCATGTCATCCATGTGTCATTACCAATCATTTGTCATTTACTACTTTTCTATTTATTTTTCCATTCCTGTATTCATAAATCTCTTTTGAGTCATGTGAGCTTGACCTAGATGCAGTTAAGTATATGAAGAGTTTCTTTCTGCCAGAACATACAATGTCCATTACATAAGCAGACAGAAAGGAAATGTCAGACTGGCTCAGGGAAGCATACAAACATGTTTCTAAGATTTGTCTGCCTCAAGACGGATTATTCTGACACCATGCGTCTCTTAATAGTGTGGTTTAAGTCAAGGTGAGCATAGATAATTCATGTGTTCATGACAGGGCATCTGCCTCATCTCAAAACTCATTTTATCAGTGGAAGTCAAGCACAAAAGATTACATTTTGCACACTTCGCTGCAGCACTGCTCTGTTATGAAATTAATGTATTATCTTGAGTCTGAAGCACTAAAAGGTTTCCATCCACTTCACTTGCTGACCAGAGTTAACTTGAAGTGTTGTCAGTTAGGCAAAGTTCCCTTTTTATTAGGAGTAAAAGGCCTTGTGAATATGTGGGTCAGCTGCTTAAGAACTTGGTTCCAAATGAAATCAGTACCGTTGTAATAAATACACGATATTGAAGTTGTTCATTATGGGAAGATATTTAAGCTGCTAGGATGTTAAAACTACTCATGCACATGTACTGCTGGTGAAGACCATGATATAATTGAAATCTCCACAGCAGCTAATAAATTAGGCCATGACCTTTTCAAATGTCAAGAATTAACTTGAAATACAACTCATAACCTTGATTTGGAATCAAAAGACACCAAAAACATAGTTCAATGTTCAAAATCACTGCATTTGAGACATCAATTATAACTGGACTTTATATTTGGTAGGGTAGCCTAGATTACTCATCTTTTAATATTGTAGAATCATAATAAGGAAAAACTATTCTAAAAAGGTTAAAACCAGAAAACCTCACATATGGTTTTCAAACACTGTCGCTGACATTAACTATGTTCATTCAAAATTCAAAACACTGTAACTTTATCACACTGTTTCTAACACAGCCTGGAGCTACATGCAGTGTTACTAATGCACTGTCAACAAGGGCATACTCACACCAGCCGATGAAAAGAAAGACCCACTTTCTGAGCTTATCGGTTGAATAAGTCATTACGATGGCTGTGTGAAGGTAGCATCCCTCAACAAACATCCAGAAGAAGTTTGTCACCACAAAATAATTGTAAATGGTTGTAATTAATCGACACCAAGGCTGAAAAAGAAGAAAGGAGACTCAAAGCAACATGAATATGTGTTATAATTGGATATTGGATACTTGTCTGTTGATGTTGGACATGGAGCTACTGTGACGCAAGTCAAATTTCAGACTTGATCTGACAAATAAAGTAATATCGTATCGTATCGTATCGTATTATAAGATTGAATAGCTTAACTTTTATGTTTCGAGTAGACAAAACTGTTCAATGCTGTTACCTCATTGCTCTCGTGGATATTGTGGTCGATCAACTGAAGCAAAAACCACATAACATTCCTCAGTATGAAGGTGGTGATTAAGTTCCAGTGGATGATGTTTCGAAGACATCGTATGCTCCTAAACCACAAGCAAAATAAAGACATGTATTATTATCATGCTTTCATAGAGGAACAGATTATTAAAAGTGCAATGAGATGTTAGGTCTGAATAATATTGGCCTTTAGCCATATTGTTTGCAAGTTATTGACCAGTATGTCACAGTTAGAGGCTCCAAGATTACATACAAAAGGCATACATTTCTTCATTTATGTATTTATGTACTACTTATTTCAAATATCCAATACATGCTTCAGTTTACTTAATTTGTATGTGCATTGTTACCATTAATGTGCAGACTACTAGAAGATTTTGATACTTCAGAACACTTTTTAATGATTTAAAAGCAGATGTATGGATGTGACAAGACATCTGTAGTGTAAGTAGTGTAAGATTGTTTAACACAATTTGTAATAGTTTTTAATCTTAGAATAATACAGTGACCATTTCATTTTTGTATCTAATTCATTTTGGCTGAGAATTCCCCATTTCACAAACCATAGTGCGTGTCTGTGTGTGTGTGTGTGTGTGTGTGTGTGTGTGTGTGTGTGTGTGTGTGTGTGTGTGTGTGTGTTTAAACCAGAACATTAAATATGACATGACTTCTTGAAATTCACATTATGTCTTTCTTTCGCCACAGAGCTCCACATGAGCCGAGCTGCAGAGATCTATTCATTTGACATAAGCGAGTTAATGATTAGCAGTCCGAGGAAATTACGTGAATTTCCCTGATTGTGCTCAATGAGGTCTCATTCATACAGGACACATTTAGATGGGGACTATTTCCGTACTTGCCTTAAGCACAAGAAGAGAACGAAGGCCACGACTAGAGCTCCCACAGAGATACAGTGACCTAGGTAGTTGATGATCAGCGCTACTTTATAATGCATTGGATATTTTCTCTGTAATGACAAAACATGGATTACTTCTTGAATGTAAATGCTGGATAATAAAACAAAGAGATTAGGTTAGGAGAACAGAAATACATGAATAGAACCAAGGTTTGTATATTTATTAATCTATCTTGTTTGGAGGTTTAAGTCAAGTGAAAGAAAGCAAATGTCATTGAAGCAAATTTAGATGTCACGGCCTAAAATAATCTGAGAAAATAGAGCAAAACCCAGAAAAACCCACAATGAGCAGACAAGATGTGAGGTAATCAGGCCAAAGCTAATTACTTTCAGCTCATCAGTCTTACTATTTGGCTTTATACTGTGATTTTTAATTTGTTCAGCAGTCTGGAGGCAAAGGTCTAAACCAGGGGTCGGCAACCTTTCTGATATGAAGTTCCATTTAAAAAAAAAATTGTTATCAGCGTGCCAACGATCGAGAATTATCAACGGGGGGCATTTACCACATTTAAATAATTGGTTTAAACGGCATAATAATAAGGACAATCGTCCGTTCTGTGATTATCCAGAACACACATGTTATGATATTAGGGTCATGCAGAGTGAGATGAGATCGCTGTCCCTTTAAGAGAGAGAGAGAGAGAGAGAGGGGTGTGGCTTGTGCATGTGTGTTGTGGATGGTAGAGCGACAGTGAGGGAACGTGTGTATGTTTCTGGAAGTGAAACGAGGAAGCAGAAAAACAGAGGTCTGTGATGTATTTTGTGAAACAGAAGAACAGCTAAATAAATGCAACGGCCTCCCAAGAAGTGCTCGCCTCCAGTCATTTAAGCTAAAGTGGGTTATTGAACCTGAAGCTTGTTGCTTCTGCCCTCCTCGACTACGGTCTGGGAGCCGACAGGAAAGTTCAACACAAAGATGGCCAGTCCGCCCCTTTGTAGCATATTATTTCGATGAAAGATCGCCACTGGGCTTTCAACTAAATACACAGCCACGCAAAAACTGCGGCATTTGCACAGCTCCTTATGGGTACTGCAATTTGTGAAGTGCTTTCCTCCGTGGTGAAACGATCCGCACTGCACCACGGAGGAAAGCGGCAGAAAGTCTCCTGGAGATAAAGAGAGCGGGGCTGCGTTGCGTTCATGGCTTCCTTCTGCAGGTAACGGGGAGACGCACTCTGGCGGCGGTCTCGTTCAGGATCCGAAAATACAATTTAAATATTTGTGCACACTTATTCCACTTATTCCTAGTGTGCCACTGGTTACGGTGCCGCGTGCCAATGCTGGCACTCGTGCCAGGGGTTGCCGACCCCTGGTCTAAACACTTTAACTGCACTGTGTGGAGAAATAAGATGCCATTCAATTTACAAACACCAAACACCACATTACTTTGGCCACAGTATCTAATTGGTATTCCCCTGTGTGCCATTATTGTAATAAGAAATAATTAAAGAGAAGTTGTAATGAGCATTTATCTGAGATGGTCAGCACATTTCTTACAGTTATAAAGACCTGACAGGATTGCTCCTGCCACACTAACCTTCTCCTCCAAAATAGGTTCACAATTGGAGTAATTGCTCTTCAGCGCCCACGTCCCATTATCCATGCATTCCCTGTAAGCACTCCCTGCAAGAGAAACAATGAGAGGCACGGTTAGGAGAATAATCATGTGTAGCAAACAAAAATAACCTACAGAGCTCCGGTGTCTAGAGCCTCTGAAACGTGTACTATGGAGATGGGACCAGCTGGAAGAGGGCGTTAACATTTCTAAAAAGGGGAAAAGTACGGGGGAAAGTACTCCGGTGTGAAAGCGCACACATTGATCATGTTTCAAACACAAGTTGATGGTTTATTTGTTCAAATCTCCCTTCTCTGTTAAACATCAGGCACTGAAATCAGGGCTGGTGCAGGGCGTTCATACTCACTGTTTGCCAAATAAGTAAGCACAAATTACGAACTCTTTCTTAAAGCGCAGTTCAAAGTGGGGCACTCACTACTATCTGTTTGAGTCTTACACAGAATACCAATTCACCAAAGCTTCTTACTGTGTCATTTTATTTGCATATCTCTTCAAACCTGCTTTCTATAATCAACGGTGGACAGAATGTTTCCTTTTTCAGTACTGCATTACCTTATTATCTCTTTAGCATGGAGTTGCTCAGAACATAATAGGAATACAAATAAAAAAGTGTGTTTTTCTATTATGATCAGCCACCCTGGTGCCAAGATACCCATCATTAATGCAGGGTTTATATTATGTTGTATGAAAACCATGATGAAAACACATAACTTATAGGTGTGCTGTTATGAGAAGCTACTGTATACTAGTCATTTCTATTATTATAAAAAGGATAACTGTTCAATAATTCACAGGTCAAGGCCTCATGTGTGTATATCATATTTTACCACAAATAAATGATGAATTGAAGCCACTATGAGTACAATAAATGTACACTAAAACTAAAACAAAACCTAAATAATCACCAATGACTCGCTTTATGTGTTTGGTGTTGTGTATCAGAGACCCTGATTTCTTCTTTTTTTTTTTTAATTGTTCCCGGTCATCTCTTCGTGTCAACCTCTATCAAAACCTCACAAAGCCAGATCTTAAAAACATTTCCTTGAATAAACTACAAAAACATCTGAGACAGCACATACAAAATGCCAATATGACAAGGGTTTATGCCAAAAGGAAATTAAATGGGTGGTCACTTGTTGAGTTGGTGCGGAGTCTGCAAACTGCAACCAATAAATCCTATTCAATCAAACCGTGCATCGTCATTAACATGTGCTTAAGTTGCTTCTAATTATACTCTTTCCTGCAGTAAATTAGTCATAGGGCCACTGAGATATTTTCCTATAAAATATGTGAACGGATGAAAGAATAAATATGTCTGTCTCATTGTTCAGAAAGCTGCACATTGTTTATTCTTTCCCCTCTGGGTTCATGAGTTTAGACAGGCTGTAATGTTTTTATTTACTCATTCCGTCTCAGAGTCTTGCAAATAACAACCCATATGGTGAGCTAACCATTCACCTTAGAAATACCTACAGGGACGCTTGAAGCTACGGCAGCCGCAGAAAAAATATCCTTTGCGTGAAAACTGCTTGTGGCAATCTAGAAACAGAGAAGGAGTTGATTTATGGCAAAACCCAGCGTATTATATAGACGATGCTTAGTACTCCTCATCCTTTGACGAGGAAATGTTGAACGCAGAGTGGTAAATCAGAGTCTGTTAAACCACCAAAGCCCTTCATTGAGTGGGACTTATACACGTATCCCCTACGGTGCAGTAAAAAAGTCAATTGAAATACTCTCTCAAAACACACTGCCTCAACATGTTCATTGATCAGGTGCCAAGTGGCATTTAGAGAGTTCTTGTGCAGTGTAGGCGACCGTGATGAGACAGCTAATGTCTCATGCATGGTTTGAACATGAACGATAGGCAAATAGTATCGTCTTATTTCATTTACAGAATATGTTACTTCTTTAAACTGCAAATTACGATACTTGATGTTCAATTGGGGCCATTATGGAATCGATTGTGGTGCAATGGAGAAAAAGAAACCCTTCACATTGTAATGTTTCACTGTTAGTGGTGATTCAACATGTAGATTTTTGCAGTCGTTATATGGAGCTGCATTACACAATACTGCAAACACATTTGACTAATGCAAAAGGTGAACTAAGAGCACTTAGACATAATAATAGGCTTCATTATAGGGATTGACATGTTGCTCTTTGTATGTACTGTATATGTATTGATGTGTTTGCACTTGTTACCAATGGATATACTTATGGTTTTAGTACTTTTAAAATGCTTAATATACAGTTATAGGTCATTTATAAAAACAAAGTTGATTTTATTTTATTTATTTTTTGGGCATTTTTAGGCAGAATGGCCCTTCCTTTGTCATATTAGCTCTTTCCATTTACAAAATATTTCTACAGAGGAGAGTTTGACATCCGACCTGACATCCCAAAAGAGCTGCAGAGTATTATACATCATTTATTATCATTAACAACTACAGACTGGATGGATTTAAAAATAAAAACTAGCATAAAATATAATGTAAAAAAATATAACACTGCACCATTAAGTTGTCCAAGTTAATGTTACAGTAGCAGTGCTTTCCAGATGAAGTTCTCCAGGCAATGATCACACCGTGTTTGTGTTGCAGAAACAGAGGAAGGGGAGCAGGTTGAGAGTTCCGTTCCTGTGAGCTATTCCACCGAGGCAGACTAATTCAAGGCACTGGTGCGGGGAGCGCACATTTCTGCCTAACCATCTGTGCTTTACGCATGATAAAGCTATTCTCTCACATTTTGGTTTTAACCTGTTAAGCCCCAAGGTCCCCCTCAGCAGGTCCTTTTTATTTATTTTTCACGACACTGTGCCTCAGCCGATCTTAATATTTAAGAACCTATTAATGTGTTATACCAGATTAACGGGAATAATCTCAGCTAACTGACGATACAAACCATTTTTACCAAAACAAAACACAAGTCTCATAAGAGGCACCTAAATGACCCCTGAGCGAAAAATGCTAACGCACTTTGGCACAGAACTCAAGATAAAAGATACCCTTATCAGGGTTGCCAACTCTCACGCATCTGGTGTATGACACACGCTTTCACTCTCAATCTCACGCTCTCACGCTGCCCAACTATTCTCACGCCAAAAAGAAGTTGAACCGGCGATCGTTTTTGGTTGGTTATTTACAATGTTGAGTTGACAGCTGCTCAAGCTGTCGATCCGCTCCCTCCCCGCCCCCACCACTCTTACAACGTTAACAGACAGCAGAGCAGTGGGAGGCGGTTGGTCAATCCCCGACCCGTATTGCGCATGCGCAGATCTAACATCCAGTAGAAATTATACAAAAGTAAAAGTCTGCTGCTTATTGTTCTACTAGGCCAAAATAGAGTCAAAGAGTATATGAGAGTGAGAGTGCGTTAATGAATATATTTGGCAGTTTGGAGTAAGTCTGTAGATTTGTTTGTGTGTGTTTCATGTATAGGCCTCTCACGATAATTAATTTTGTTGGATACATTTTCCCGGAAATTATTGCGATAAACGATAATATTGTCGGCACCGTTGTATGACCATTTTAGACCACTGACATAATGATAATATATAATAATAATTCAAGTACTGTGGTGACCACCTATTTAACCACTGGGACATAATTCAAACTTGGAACTACAGTTGCGGCTATTGTTCCCACACGGACATGTTATGTGTTACCTATATATGTGTGCCCTCCTGGGCTCTTTCTCTTGTCGACCCGGGCTGCAACCCGACAACATGTCCAATTCTGCTCTCTATTAAAGTACCTTTTCACATCTCCATTGCACCGCCTCCGACTCCCTATCTCTCGGCACTACAGTACATCCTTTCAAATTGCTAGTCACATCCTCATGTAAATGGCAATTTATCGAGTTCATTTTTATTTATCGTACGATAAGTCAATGAATTGCTTATCACAGGCACACAATAAAACAGTGGAAACAAACATGTGTTTGACTTTCATAATAGTGAATGAAACTTTGTGCCCTTTATAGTCTGTGTCCAATATTGTGTATTTGTATATATTGTATATATATCCTATGCTAAGTTCCCGCTGCTGACACAATAGCAGTCATTTAGTGCGCATATGTGTAATTAAACTCATGATATCAAAATCTCACTCCAGCCAGGTACCCAAAGTTGGCAACCCTGCTTACTTATCGTAGCTGCACATACAAAATATCCGATTAAAGCTGAGGTTCCACAGATTGTTTAGGTATATATATCATCACTGAGTGATCCGAACTTGCGACAGGGGAAGCAAACACAGACATCACAACACGTACCTTTACGGAGCTTTTACGGGAGATCGTCTCACCGTAGCTGTCAATCTGATCAAAAGACTTGTTCAATGGCATTAAAACGAGAAAAAACGCGGCTGAATCGGTTAATCCATAGGTTGATCATGTTTCTGTGTAATATTTGTATTTATTTATAATCCATAATTCAATTTTTATGTACAAATCGGAGAGTAAAAGTTAGCTGCTAATGGTAGCCACCAGAGTTATCGCAGCTTCCGGTCTTGGCTATGCGGCAGTCTAACACACACACATTACCAAATAAGGAGTATGTGGGAGTTCCCCTCGATTCCATTGGCTCTGATGGTTAGAAAGAGATGTCAATCAGCAAAATCGAGCAAGGGGGGCCAGAACACCTACACGATCAGGTGTTCTACATGGGTCACGGCGTTCTCTGTATGCCTCGCGCATTCTAGATCCATTCTCTTTGGTGGGAACTCTACCACCCGTGTGCTTTAACATCCATGGACGCGTGTTCGATATGTTGGTATTAATAAACTTCGTGGGACCATAGTTTCTTAACTACGTTTTGTTCATTTAAACTGGAAATATCTCTTCTAAATCGTTTTATTTTTGTACCCGCAGACCCAAAACCA